GGCCACAGAGCTTATTTTCTGCAATAATCCAAAAGTCAATGGAAAAATTCTGTTGGCTTTTTTTGTTGAGGGAACCAGGATGATGCTAACATCTAGGTTGACCTTGAAAAATACATCATCACTGCAGCACTCGTTTCCATTTGATGAAATTTACATTTAAGGATCTTTATTATATACATGCTTGCAGTACCTGACCGATATACGTCCCAGGCTTATTCTGAACACAGCCTAGTTTGAAGCCAAACCCAGCACCCTCCTTGTGAAGCACACAAAGTCGAGGATGCTGTCCGTCTTGATGTGGCAAAGGAGGTATAAGGAACCGTTCCCTTTTTGGAATATTGTCTTCATAGAACAGCAATGGAGAAATACCCAGCTGAAGTGGATCAAAAAACAAACACTCTCTCAGTGATAAATCCAAGCACATACCGCAAGAATAATGATTCCCTATGTTATCTAGGTCACAGCAACCCCACCCATTCCCTGGGGTTCATGTCTATTCCACACAGTTGATTCATTTCATTTTAAAAACACCTGTTTGGTGAGTACTATACGAATTAGGAGCTTGAGCTTAAGCCCTTGGTTAGCCCTCAGGGTCAAATGTCTTCAGTCAGAGGGAAGATATGTTGATTTAGCAGCTGTTTGCAAGCTGAATGTCATCGCTCCTGTTTTCTGTATGAACGTGAATTTTCATGTGAAAGCATGTGCATAAGCACCTGTGTGAAATAGTCTCTGCCAGGGATGGAGATGGTGGTTAGGGTGACCTGCTGGCCGCTTTGCCGTATTTTGCTGACGATGCCCTTATGCTCTGCATCCTCCACCTGCTCCCCATTTACCGCTAGCACAAGCTCTCCATCCTCCATTCCTGCAGCCTCAGCTGGGCTGCAGGGGTCGATCTCTCGTAATACATGAGCTATCGAGTGAACATATCACAAAGTGATGGAAATATGCTGAAATAAAGTCTTCTGTGTTTTCTGACTAGTTGTACATTTAAAGCAGGGGTTTACAAAAATGTTTGATGCCATGGAGCCCCAAATACGATAATCCCTCTTCCCAAAATATAGGTAGCTATATATTTTATTTTACTTTTTAATTTATATTTCAAATAAAGAGCTATTTATACTATGAAAACTATATATACAGTATGTAAATAAAATGTGTAAAATATTTTCTGGAAATATATTCTACATACCATTGGAGTATGCTGGATGTACTGTATAAACCTGAAGAGAAACATTGAACTACAGCTATCAATTAGAATCAATAGAATGGTAATCACATGATTACCAACCAGTCTTTGGAATGAAACTGGAATAATGATTTCATTCTTATTTTATGTAAATATCTATTAATTAGTAATTCAATTATTTAATATTAGATGTTTCATTTAACATAATATTTGTATTTATACATTTTATATTTAATAATAATATTAAATACTTATTAGACCATTTGCATTGTTGTTACATTTATATTGTAAACATTTTATATATTTAAAATATTATGTTATATTTTTATTTTATATTAAATACTTATTTATATTAAACAGTTTCCTGCAAGAGAAACCCCTGCACTAAAGAAAGGTATTATTTTAGTATTATTTATATACTATTATAGTTTTTATATTCAGTTTATAATATTTTGAAATGGCTTTTATTTTTATATTCTCAGCTTTCATTTTATGCTATTTATTTGTGCTATGTGTTTATTTTTTTGCCATTTTTAGTAGTTTTATATTAATATTACTATTTAAGTTTAATTTATTTTTATTTCGGTTTCAGTTCAGGTTTATTTTCTATTTATTTCCAGTTAATTTAATGTTTCAATTTAAACTTATTTCAGTTAGTTGCCAAGACAATACAGACTCATCTAATACAGACAGTTTTCCATCTAATATTTAAATATTATATTTTAGCTTTATTTCAATTAAAATGTTTTAATAGCTTTTATTTTAGTTAATAACACTGGTAAAGAATCAGCGATTTCTCACCAGTGCGTCCAGATTGTAATTTCCTTTGCCTTAAGAGGAACCCATATCCTTGTGGCCCTCGAGTCAGGTGCAGTGTTTTTGGTCTGTAGGGTAGATTATGAGTTTTGGCGAAAGCAGGAATTACGGGTAATCCCATACGGTTATAACAATCTTCACTCCTGCTGTCAATTACCAAGACAGTCACATGGTCTTCACATTTCTTCACCTGTTGGAACAAAGTGAAATCTAGACGTGTCCCGAAAACAGAAAGATTACAACGCAAGTAAGGCATTAGATACTATACAAGTGCACTTACCATTTTTGACAGTGCTGCATAACTGAGTCCTGAAATCATAGCTCCATTGATCCAGATCAGCCTGTCTCCATTCTGGACTCCTGCTCTCTCAGCTGGACCATCAGTCACTAAGCTGAGACGATAACGACCTCGCTCACCTACTCTCACATATTGAATCAAATGAACCAGAACGGTCCACAATGATCCATCTATACATACACTATGACATCATCATAAAACCTATGGATACGAAACCAAATGTGGACAGTTGCTGATACAGACAGTAGAATGTGGTGTTGCCAAAGACATTTTATTTGAAACATTCAGGTATCTAAAATGCTCTTTGTGCTTATTATGTGTTGTTGGATATAGATATGTGCTGTCTTCTGTGAAAAATCTTGATAAACTACAACTTATGTGAATAATAGTTAAACTGGTCATTTTAAATTCATAAATCTAAAAATGTCATAATTCTAAGCTTCAAACAGTATGTTTGATGCAGTAGCAAAAGGAGCAGTACCTTCAATAGGAATGATGCTGAGGCCAAAGCCACTGCCAGGCTCTTTAGTGATGTAACATAACCGTGGGCGAGAATAACCCTCTATGGGACGGTAAGCGCTGGTGAGCGACATGAGGTCTCTTCCCTCCGAAACCGCAAACTCATAATCCTGAGCAGTCAGCACTAACAGATATAGCTTCAGTCCAGACACCTGCACCTTCAGCACCACCTGAAAACAAGACACAGGTTAGACACCTACAAGACTAAATATAATACACAGTATTAAGGTATACTGGTAACACTTCACAATCAGGCCTCACTAGATAACATTAGTAATGCATTCACTAACAATAAGCAATACATTTGTTACAATATTTATTAATCTTTGCTAACATTAGTTAATAAAATGCAACTGTTCATTGTTAGTTAACGTTAGCTCAGATCCATTAAATAATATTTACAGATACAACTTGATTTTAATAATGTAAATGTTGAAATTAACACCAACAAAGATTAAGAAATGCTTTAGAAGTACTTTTATTCTTCGTTCATGTTAACAAATGTGAACAAATGGAACCTAATTCGAAAGTTTATTCAGTAAAATCTAATTATGTACTTCTAATTATGTTATATAAAATGTGCACATTGGGAGTCTATAGTACTTTTAAGAACGTATTGATATTTTTTACACCACGCTCTGGGATACTTGATTCTCATTGGTCAATCGCATCACAGCGTTTGTGTTTGACAAAAGAAAGGTCACACATGTCACATGTGTGCTACAACATGACGTTAAGTATGACAGAATTTTTGGGTGAACTATCCCTTTAATGCTTTGCATCTACTTGGCAATATCATTTGTATTCCAGTGTCCATGTGTTTAATTCACAGAATACAAAGGTCTCATGTTTGAGTAAGGAAGTGCTCTTACAGTCGAGTGCTCCTTGTCATCCACAAAGTCTTCATTGACCTCCAAAATACGGTCCCCCTTCCTCAGCCCACCCCGCTCTGTGCTGCTCCAAGACTCCACCTGGCGCACCACATGTCCCCTGCAGCCAACGTCCTTACTCAGGTAGAAGCCGAAGCCCTGACCCTCTTCCCGCTTCAGAACACACAGCCGCGGATGCACATCGGGCTCTGGAGACAATTCATTCAGTATTCATATGAAATCATTTTTTCTTTCAATCATCAATGATTTATAAGTCACTGATTGGATAAAAATGATTGAGGAAGTAACCTTTGTCATCAGAGATCACTAAAGCGGGGTTGTCAATCCCTTCTTTTGGGTTGAAGGTGAACTTCCTGTGAAAAACATTTGCACTTTGCTGTACATATTTTTTATGTAAACAAGCCAAACAATAAGATGATTTAGTGACTACGAAGTAAACCAGATTTCTTATGCAGAATCGTTGTCAGCGTGCACATGTAGGATAATCAGAGGTCAAAAGGTCACATTTAAAGATCATTCTGAAGACTTACTTTGGTAACTCTGGGGCATCTGCTGGTTCTGTGATAGTAAAAAATTTAAATATATTACAATGGTGATGTATACCTACTCAAAAATATCCCTCAGGAAAATATTTGATGCGTTAACTTTCATAGACGTGTAAGAGTCTTCGATACAGTTTAATATTAACCATTGTGAAGTGGCGTGTGACTGGCAACCAGCAACTGCTATTTTTTTTTTTTCAAACTGCAGAGGAAAAACTGTTTTCATGAAATACTTAAAAGGCAGACACTGAGCCTTTCTGCTTAAATGTGTGTAAGCATGCCACATTATTTCCATTTCCATGGATCTAAAACCACCAAACATACCGTTCCTTGGCAGAGCTTTGTTTTCAGTATTTGCCTGTGAGATGCACTGCAAGGCAAAATCTACACAGGCTGCTTTACGTTAAATCAAACATCAGGAGTTTGGCTTTACAGAAATATGATTAGAAATCACGCAGTTGACCTGTACAAAATGCTGACAAGACTTGAGATCAGAGTTCAAAAGGAAAATCCTCAGCTGGTTGGATCCAGTGTTTAATTTTGTCTATACTTTGTAAGTTTAAAAAAATTACATTTGTACAAATGAGCAATGAAGAAAATCCCCTTATTTACATAATTTTATATAAATAAATAAAAATCTTTGACTACTGAAAATGATGAAACAGTCTGCACAATCGTTGCAATGGAAAACAATGTATATATCAATAAACAGTGGTAAATTACCTGTGGTGAATCTCATGATCCTGCTTACCACTGCTGGCTGAGCCCTGGGTTTTACGAGGGTGCAAGGTACACATTTAAATGAAGCATTAAAATGTTTTACTCAGTATAGCTCCTCCTTGTTCCTCCACAATAACACACAGGAGATTAATATTTAATCTCAGGTTTATGAGACAACACCTCAGCCATCATCAGATCCGAAAGGGGGTATTACATAACCAGCTGTAATTAAGACAACTGACAACAAACTGCACTAAAATAAGACTGTCCGAGCCGTACCATCATCTTATTTAGCAAAAGTTAAAGCAATAGGGTATGACAAGTAGCCACCTTTCATCTGCACTTTTTTATTTTGTTGTTATTGCACACCAAATTTCAGTCTCAATTTGTTAAACATTTTTTCAACCACAGATTAAGGCAAAATAAATGTTAATAATGCGGAAGCTCCTAAAGCCTTGTCTTGGTTACCTTACTTTGTTAACCTTGTCTAGAGCACCATTTGACACTCAAATGTTGTTTAAAAAGATTAAACAATCAAAAAGGAGTGACACATTGTTTTATGATAACAAAGAACCCTGAATTCTCCCTGAATACATATGCATAGGAAATAGCTTCTAATTTGTCAAAAATTTGTCATCATGCAACAAGGAGCAGTTTTCAAGTAGTAATCCGAAGTATTACGGAGTAGCAGATATTGATCTTTCCCAGGCTCAAACAATCAAATAAAACTAATTTGTCACAGTGTTTTCACAAAATGTCTTAATGCTAAAGATGGATGGATATATGGATATGTTAGTAGATGGACAACCTTTTAAAATCTAACTGGGAAATATTAAGGCTGACTAGATTGAAATATGGCAACAAATATCCCTCTCAGAAATCAAACACCCATCCCTTTAACTTCTATGATAGTTACATCATTTTGTACCGGTCCCTGTTCCCGTATTACTGCTCTTCTCCAGTAAGCTCAGCATTTGCCTCACAACGCTCTCCACTCGTCGGAAGTGCATCTTTTTCCAGAAACTCTGGTGCTGTTTGCGACCCCATTCCAGGTCTTTCAGGAAGACCAGCAGTTGCTCGCGTACACGGTCTCTGTCCCAGGAAAGAGAATTTTTTCCAATAACGCTCAGAATGGGATGCCAGTCCTCTGAGATGTCCGAACCCTCCGTTACAGAAGCCAGGACCTTCACCCGCCGGCCCTGCTTGACCCGAGGACCTCCACGCACATACAGCGACTGTTTGCCCACATCGGTAAGCTGGTTCAGGTACAGACTGTGAGGAAGTATAAGTATAAAACATCTATTAACATCAAAATTAACATGGAATCAGATAGATTTATAAGAAAGATACATATTATTGGACTATGAAAATTTATTTTTGTACTCACTGTACTGTGTGGATGCTGGGATGTTCACGACAGGCATCGACCATCGTGAGAGCTGCACTGTCTCCGATGTTGTTGTAGGCCACATTCAGCTCCTGTAACATATCATGCTGGCCCAGTCTCTCAGCCAGCATTTGTGCCGATTGGTCCCCTAGGCCAGTATGCATCAGACACAGCCGTTGCAGAGAGTGGTTACCAGACAGAGCTTCCAGTAGATGGCTGATGCCCGTGTCCGTCAAGTAGTTGTCACACAACCTGTGATAAGAGTAACACGAAATTCACACAAAATGCACAGGAGACACTTTTTTTCAGAAGATCATCACAGTGGTCTTTGAGACAAGGGATGAAACTGAAAAAGTACTGCATGTATAATTTCATTTTATCTGTTAAATAACGTCAACGTTTAGCAGCAAAGTCTTCCTTTTTCTCACAAATGTTTTTTTCTTAGCCCATTATTTTATGGGTCAACACAGTCAAATACTAAAATAATGTGCCAAAATATTTATCAGAATCAGAAAGAGCTTTATTGCCAGGTATGTTTACACATACGAGGAATTTGTTTTGGTGATAGCTTCCACAGCACAAACAGAATGACAGTGACAAGACAAGACACAGATAATAAAAAGGATAAAAATAGGATGAGTAAATAGGAAATAACAATATACAAAAAAAAATACAATATACAAAACAGAGAATAAATGGTATTATTGAGATGAAATTTTGTTATTGACCAAATACTTATTTTCCACCTTAATTTGCAAATAAATTCTTTAAAAATCCTACAATGTGATTTTCTGGATTTTTTTTTCTCATTTTGTCTCTCATAGTTGAGGTATACCTATGATGAAAATTACAGGCCTCTCTCATCTTTTTAAGTGGGAGAACTTGCACAATTGGTGGCTGACTAAATACTTTTTTTCCCCACTGTATATATATACACACATACACATACACACACACACACAGACACATACATTATTATTACCAAAAGCTGAAATGAAATGAAGAATGGAAAAATGAAGGATGAAAAACTAAATAAAAATTAGAAATGGCTTAGCAACTAAATTAAATAAGTTTAATTTGAAGCACTAAAATAAACTAGAAATAAATAAAAACTAAAACTGAAATAAAAATGACTTAAACATAAATAGTATATCTACAATATTTAAAACAAAATAATAAAAATGACAAAAACATAACACAATTATAAAAAATTTAAATCCATTTAAAATAAAAACTGAAAATATAAAAACAAAAACCTAATTCAAAACTTGAATAAAAACGAATGGTATTTAAATAATACTAAAATAACACTAATAAATATATACATTCTGGGACATGTTTTGTCGAGCACTTGTTATTGTTTTTGTCAGTTAAAATGTAACCTACCTCCTCAACCATGAATATATCACAGTAATAATGTGCTATTGAAAGTAGGCTTACTGTAATGACTTAATAGTACAGTTGGGCTCAAACAGGAGATCTCGCAGTAGAATGCAGGACTCAGGACCTAGGCTGTTAAACTGGAGACTGTAAACACACAGTGAGCAAAAACACACACGTGTACCATTAGTTTGTCGATTTCCCAGGCAGAAAATCAATAACTAATGAGGTAATTGTGCTTAGAAGTATTTATTACTGACTGCATTCAGCAAGCAAAGCAACTTGAAGGCAACAGTTGAATCCATAATGAAAAGTTGCATGTTAAAGGTCCATTAAGACCACAATATCAAGACAAACAAACCAGCCCTCAGTTAGTTACTTTCACTCAATAAGATGCAGCACATTACAAACTTCTGTGTTATTCATAAAACGTGATTATCAAATCAAAATTAATAACTTATTAATATTAATACATTAATAAAAGTAATTATCAAATTCTAGCACTTTTACTGTGCATCTAACAATACAACAAAAGACTAATATTGTGAAATATTATTTCAATTTAAAATAGCTGTCTATTTGAATATTTTTTCTGCAACCTTTACTCCAGTCTTTAGTATCACATGATCCTTCAGAAATCATGCTCATTTGCTGCTCAAGAAAGATTTCTTATTATTATCAATGTTGAAAACAACTGCGCTGCTTAATATTTTTTTGGAAACTGTGATACATTTTTTTCAGAATTCTTTCATGTATAGAAACTTTTAATCTTTTGAAACATTAGAAATGTCTTTACTGTAATTTTTTATCAATTTAATGCACCCTTGCTGAATAAAAGCTCAATTCATTAAAAAAATACTGACCAAAACCACTGAATAGTGGTGTTTTTTTCTTTTCTTTTTTTTTTTATTGTGAAAGTTCACCAATACATTTAGGGCTGCACGATTATGACAAAAATCATAATAGTCGATTATTTCTTTGAAATTGTAATTGCAATTATTAATTACGACTATCACGATTTACATTGAATGATGTTTATACCATTGTTTAATGCAACTGCATGCCGTATTTTAATATGAAAATAAACAAGCTGAAAACACTAACTGAAAAACCTTTAGTGCTTTTCTATAATATTAAGCCTCAAATGTCAACTATACATCGGATTGGTTTCTTCTTTAAATTATTTTAAAAAGTACAAATATGAATGGTATTATAATGTTATACTAAAACGAACATTTAAATAATGGGAAAAACCCTTAAGATAACATGTAGAAGAAAAAAACACATCTTAAGCACGCAGAATAATCGCGATTAGAAATTCGATTAATTGTGCAGCCCTAAATACATTCCTTGTTTTCAAAAGCAAAACTGGAAGAAAAAAAATGGTTTGCTGGTCTTAGCTTGTATCTAAGACTGGTCAGGCTAGTCTGTTGCCTGCACAGAGCTACATGATTCAAGCATGCAAAACACCGATTAGTTTTCTCTATGGTAAGAGCATGTCTCACTTGAGGTTGCTAGTGTGATGGAAGGCTGGCCAAAGCATCTGCATTAACTCTGGAGTGATGTGGCAGGAGGAGAGGTTGAGCTCGTTCAGGTGGAAGCTTGAGCTCGTGCAGCTCAGAACCGTGCTCAGCACGAAGCACTTGTGTGGCGTCATGCGTACAGTCGACAAGTTGATGGTCTTGATGGACTGCAGGACTTCAGCTGTGAGTCGAGGGTTCTGGAACTCATACAGCAGGACCAGAAGGTCCATGAGCTCCTCAGGAGGCTGCTTCTTCTGGCTCTCCTTGATCAGGTGTTTCCTCAGCGCACGGGTGATCTGAGAAACCGTGTGACTCTTGATGCTGCATCCGAGCTGGTCTAACAGCCTCCGGTTCCCGTAATGAAGAAGTCCACCCATGAAGATAGGGTAGAGCTCAAATGCTCTTGTGTAGGTTTCCTCCTGTGGCTGTGGACCATGCACTCCCAGCAGACTTTGTTCCACCTGGTCCAAAACATCTTCATTGAAGCTGTCCTCCGAACGAAACATTTCCGCCGCCATGGTGCTTGCAATACGCCCTTTGCTGTGGCTGCTGACTCGCTCAAAGAGTTTCGGGAACAACTTAAGCAAGTTGAAAACGGCAAAGATTCGGAAAGGTATGACTTTAGAGAGGATGCTCAGGAGGCTTGTGATGTCTTCACTGGCTTGTCCCAAAGCCTCCGAAACCTCCTTCGTCAGCTTCTCCAGGACGCTTTTGTTCTCGCCAAGAACAACATAAAGAGCGGCTAGATATTCCTGCATGGCGGGAACAGCAAACACGTAGCGCCTACCACCAGATTCGGGATCTGTAACATGATCATTGCGAGGAACCAGAAAGAAGTCAAGCACATCTGTGCGAAACACAGCCAGTTGCTGGAGCTCTTCGTCCGTTTTAGTCTTGCCGCCAACCCACTGCTCCAGTTCTTCAGCGGAGAACGACGTCCGCTTGTTGGTGATGCCATCAAAAGCTAGTTTACCAACAGTACGGACCACATAGAGCATTAATGAGTTCTGTTGCTCTTGTGATGAGACGTTTCCATCCACAGTTATCACTTCTCCTCCAAAGTTGAGCCTCATGAAGCTGGTGTAGATGCCAGTGAGGGTTCGAATTGGTGACTTTGTATCAGTAAAATGCAATAAATGAAGAGTGGCACATGTGAGCCAGCAGTAAGATGGTAAGAAGCAGGCAGTTGCTAACTGACTCTCCCGCTGTAGATTTAGGTAAAGCATCTCTATGAGCGTCTCAGCCACCTTGCCCGGCTTGCCTTCATTCTGTTGCAAGAGCCTGCTGGTGAAGTAGGCTCTCTGGCGATGAGGATCATTGAAGCCACAGATTTGTACATAACGATTTATGTATTTTTTAGGAACTCTGTCCACAGCAGATAGTCTGGTTGTAACCAAAATGCTGGCCTGTAAGAAAAGCAACAGGTCTTAGCAGATATTAATTACACATTAAACTTTCATCTAAAGGTGGGGGGTCAATGAAAAGTAATTGTCCACATGTGCTCAGTTCTCAGAAAGGTATTCTTTGAATACATGTTGGTTTCATATGGTTTTGAAAGACTTTTATACCATTTTTAAGTGTAGATGACTCTAAAATGAAATTTAGTGTAACCAAGTATAAAGCAATTAATTGATATATTATTTAATATAATATTATTAATAATAAAATCATTTTACATGTATGCACATCTTAATCATTATTTTCCAAAGAGTTTTAAAATATTTTGAAGATAAAAAAGTAATATGATTAATGAATTCATAAATATGAAAAACCTGTTTGTCATAAAAGTCTCAAATGATCTAATATTATAACAGACTTACTGACCCTGACACGCAGGCTCTTTATGATATAATTTCCTTTTATGTTTTTTATTTTGTATGTTGGTAGCACCACATGACTTTGAACTGTCAGACAACGTTTTTTTCTTCAAATATCATTAATTTGAACAAAATAACTAAATGACTTCACTGCTTTTCTTTTAAAGATACTACTAATAAAAATATTTATTTTCAAGAATTTAATTCTTTTGATGAGGACTTTTCTTCATTATGATAAAAAAATTCTAAATAATTTAAATTCAGAAATTCTAAAAATGCTGCAAATATACAACTAATATGACTACTACTACTTCTAATAACTATAATGATAAATTATTATTATAATTATTTGTTAAAAACAAAACAAAAAAATCACATTTGAAGAATTTCATTCTTCTAACGGCTTTTTCTTCATTACTATAAAAAAATAGTTAAATTCAATAAAAATGTGCATCACAGATCAGGTGTATTCAAGTTACTGTATTTATGAAGTGCATTTAAATGTATTTTTAAAAAAATTAATAGATCTGAACAAAAAATGTGTGTCATGTCATTAACCAAGGTATTGCAATTTGCGTCACAAAACCACCACCAATTTAATCTGGAACATGAGAAGTTATTTTAAATTGTAATAATATTTTACAATATTACAGTTTGTACTGTATTTTTTATATAATAAATGTAGCCTTGGTGAGCATAAAAGACTTCCTTAAAAAAAAAATCCAAATTTTACCAAAATTTTGTACACGGTAGACTGCATACATAAATTATTTTTTAGATAAATAAATAAAAATAAACCTAACATTTGATTCATGGATATTTTAAATATTTTAAGAATATCAAACACCTACTTTTCTGAAGAGACCTGGTGTGAAGTTTGCAGCAGACATCTCTTGGTGACCCTTGGCATCTCCATCTTAACACTTCTGTTCCTGATGGCCTCCCAAATCGCCACATTTCGACTTTAAAATAACCCCTAAAGGATGATATGTTTTGTCATAGAGACTTAAAAGGTTAGACAGGTCTGTAAATTGTGTTGAATAGGTAAACAAATGCTACAATCAACACAGTAACGTAAATGCACCTGACAAAATCAAGCCAAACCTTGTAAGGTCCCTCCTTTGGCTTTGTGTTTCAATGATACATGACACTTAGGCTACACAGTTACATGATACATGTTCATTTAACAACACACCCAAAGTGTTAATTTTGGTAATGTCCATTATCTAAAGAAACTGCATGATGCATCACTAAGTGTGACCAATGTGCTATTTAAGATAGCTTCTAATTCAAATCCAGACAGAAAGAATACAGATGCATCTCAATAAATTAGAATGTCGTGGAAAAGTTCATTTATTTCAGTAATTCAACTCAAATTGTGAAACTCATGTATTAAATAAATTCAATGCACACAGACTGAAGTAGTTTAAGTCTTTGGTTCTTTTAATTGTGATGATTTTGGCTCACATTTAACAAAAACCCACCAATTCACTATCTCAACAAATTAAAATACTTTATAAGACCAATAAAAAAACAATTTTAGTGAATTGTTGGCCTTCTGGAAAGTATATTCATTTACTGTACATGTACTCAATACTTGGTAGGGGCTCCTTTTGCTTTAATTACTGCCTCAATTCGGCGTGGCATGGAGGTGATCAGTTTGTGGCACTGCTGAGGTGGTATGGAAGCCCAGGTTTCTTTGACAGTGGCCTTCAGCTCATCTGCATTTTTTGGTCTCTTGTTTCTCATTTTCCTCTTGACAATACCCCATAGATTCTCTATGGGGTTCAGGTCTGGTGAGTTTGCTGGCCAGTCAAGCACACCAACACCATGGTCATTTAACCAACTTTTGGTGCTTTTAGCAGTGTGGGCAGGTGCCAAATCCTGCTGGAGAATGAAATCAGCATCTTCAAAAAGCTGGTCAGCAGAAGGAAGCATGAAGTGCTCCAAAATTTATTGGTAAACAAGTGCAGTAACGTTGGTTTTCAAAAAAACACAATGGACCAACACCAGCAGATGACATTGCACCCCAAATCCTCTTCAATCAGGACTTCAAGCAACTTGCTATGAGCTTCTCCACCCTTCCTCCAGACTAATACACGAGTTTCACAATTTGAGTTGAATTACTGAAATAATGAACTTTTCCACGACATTCTAATTTATTGAGATGCACCTGTACATATATTTAAAAAACTATTCTTAGCATATGCAGGATTAGCTGAAATTCATCAGTCAAGTTAATATTGATGATTAATCAAGAAGGTCAAGTGATTGGTCTTCATCTGCGTTTAATACACAACAGAAAATGTTTTCCCTCTTGCGAATGTGACGATGACTATGAGCAAGACACTATGAAGGTGTGACCTGGCTGTCACCACACCTGTACCTAAACCAACACTGGAAACTCATTTTCATTAAGTAATTTACAACATAATTCATCCAGCGACCAGTTTAGACCAGTGGCTGTCAACTTCTGTTGTAATAAAAAAAAAAAAAAATTTGACATCAGTTGAATGTTGTACATCTTTATTTTAAGTGTTTTTAAAGCATTTTAATTAAGATTATGTTAATACAACTAAATAAAAATAATATTAAGATTTATTGGGGCCCTTTTTTAAAGTCACAAGCTGAAAGAAAGCTTAGCTGATACCATAAAGTGCTGTAAATACAACTGTAGCCCTTTAAACCCATTTACTACTGTAGGTTTTCTCTTTTAAAATAAAACAACTACTGTATGTTAAGGTATATTGCTTTTCCGCGTACTGTGTTCAATCACCACGCCAACCATTGAGTAGTACAGCTGCCACTCTCTAAAAATAGTACAGTAAATTCAAAACTCATTACAAGCATGTTATTTGTTTTTGTTTTGTTTTTCATCTGACTTGAATAGCTCTTGCTCGCAATTTCCTTGTCTATAAAAAATTCCATATCCATATGCAATTTTTTAACATATACAGGTCAAACAGTTTGTCTATAAATGTGAACGTGCCTGACATGCATACTCAAGCGTAAATGAAAGATTCCTTATAGTTCTGTTCTGGAATTCGACGCAAACTCAGCTCTATGGTTTTAGAAGGGTCATGGCGTGCGTTTCATTTCAATATGTATAAACAACCGTTAGTCACTGAATCAGCAACATAGCGACTACTCTTATTCACATGAGAAACCAGACGTAACAATTAAGATGCTGGTAATTGCTGTAGATCTTTACCTAATCTAGAGGCTCTATATAAGGTGAATTCTTCATTGACTTTCCCAGGACTCTACCAGCGTTCTGACATTCGGATCACAGCCGAGGAAAGCGTCCATTCTGCGGCAGGATGATGAGAGCGTACCGCTCCGTGCTTCCTGCTAGTCAGTCGTAGTACCGCCCACATACACAGATTTCAACTTTGCTCTTCTTTTTTACGACGCGAAAGCCACATGACTAAATAAAAGCTATAAAATAGACATCGTGAAGTCTCATATGCTGCTTTAGCATTGATGTATTTGCACAATGACTTTGTAAAGTTATCCTACCAGCAGCTTTAAATCTACAAAAGACACGCTTTCTTCTGTGCTGCTTGGGTTTTAAGTCTGAAACTGTCATCAGTTAATATGGTGTATTCAGACAGCAAAATCATTCTGCATTTCACAATTTTATAGGCCCACCTTTCATTTAATTTACACAATTTTACTTAATGCTGGATACAAGCTGTTTTACTTTGGACTGCCCTGATCAAACTGACTCACCTACAGTTTTCAGTATCAAGTCCAACAAGTTCTTTATGTGGAGCTGTATAGGGGTTCCTGGAGGATGATGAATGCTTCAACCACTGTAAGCTCTTTGCAGCTCCAAGGGATTCTGGATTATTCAAAATAATTCTTAGAAAGGTTCTTTGATGAAGCATACAGGTGGGGCTGCTTTAGTTTCTTTTGCACATGCTATTCTTCAGGTTTAGTTCAGTGAGTCAGAATTAGTCAAATGTAAAAAAAAAAATACAATTTTTTTTTCTAAAAGGTACTGCCTGATGGCTTCATTGTTATTTGTTGTAAGGGGGAACATAAATTATAAAGCATTTTTTTATTGTTCTATGTCCTCATATGAACCACTATGAATACTACACTCAAGAAGATTGCAGTTGCAACTGCACTTCTGATGGATTTCATAATTTTATTTCTAAACACACTAGGTACGTTTGGCAGTAAGACATGTTTTAGCAATACACTACTGATATACATAGTATGAAAGTTTGTTGGTCTAAAAAATTATAACTTTGTTTTAATACATACATTTTAGCACCAGGTAGTTACATAAAATCTCTAGGCAAAAATAGCAGAGCCCTGACTTAAACCCAATTGAGCATCTCTGGAGAGACCTAAAAATGGCTGTCCACCAACGTTTACCATCCAACCTGACAGAACTGGAGAGGATCTGCAAGGAGGAATGGCAGAGGATCCCCAAATCCAGGTGTGAAAAACTTGTTGCATCTTTCCCAAAAAGACTCATGGCTGTATTAGATCAAAAGGGTGCTTCTACTAAATACTGAGCAAAGGGTCTGAATACTTAGGACCATGTGATATTTCAGTTTTTATTTTTTAATAAATCTCCAAAAATGTCAACAATTCTGTGTTTTTCTGTCAATATGGGGTGCTGTGTGTACATTAATGAGGAAAAAAAAATAACTTAAATGATTTTAGCAAATGGCTGCAATATAACAAAGAGTGAAAAATTTAAGGGGGTCTGAATACTTTCCGTACCCACTGTATATATGAATAACACAGATTCACAGAAAAGGCATCCTAATCAAGGACCTGTAAGTTATCCATACAACACATTTAGAGCATGGGGAATAAAGGAGAGTTCATGACGTTTGGTTTTACTCCTGGGTACAACAAATGTCTTGTGCCGCCGAAGAGAATAAGTAGGTGTTGGAGCCATAGGCAGGAAACAATGCAATGGTGATGAACTGTCCTTGAGTATTTTAGTAAGCATACATATGGTGGCTTCCTCACGCCTCTCACTCAGTGTTGGGAGAGTTGAAGTCGGAGTGCCTATTAACCGACAGCATCGCTTTTGGATCCTCTCTAACTCCTCAGAGAGACCTTTAGGTATCCACCCCATACTGGACTAGCATATTCGAGAACTGGCCATATAAAAGTCAAATATACTTGTACCAAAACATCACAAGGAAGACCCGCTTTTTTTTTGCAGCGCAAAGATAGTATATTCTGGGGCGCACCTTTGAAATAATGTACTTAATGTGGGCATCCCATGACAAGTCAGAGGATATTTGAACTCCAAGCAATTTAAAGGTGGTCCACCCCATACTGGACTAGCATATTCGAGAACTGGCCATATAAAAGTCAAATATACTTGTACCAAAACATCACAAGGAAGACCAGGCTTTGCTTTTTTAGGAACAGCTTTGACTATAGCCTCCTTCCATTGTTTTGGAAAAATTTTATGCTGAATGCATGTATTGAAGATGTCACATAACACCGGTGCCAACTCTTCATGAAAAGTCTTTAGCACCCAAGGAGGAATGCAGTCGGGACCAGCAGCCTTGGCTGCATTCACTTTAAGTCTAGTCTTAACTTGTCCAATACTCAGAGGAGGTACACTACAATTTGACAACTTGCAGGTAACTTCTATGTTACCTGCAAGTTGCATAAGCACAGAAGCAAAGTGCCTAGCCAGAGTGTCACATTCACGTTGCATGATGTTTTGATCCTGAGACACCATGTCACTCTTATCTCCTTCCATCCCCATTAAATTCTTCATTGACTTAAACCATTGTTTTGGCTTGGAGCATTGCAGTTCCTCCACCTCATGCTGGTAATATTGTTTCTTTGCGTTCTTGATTTTTTTGGCAATGATTGATTTTAACTTCTTATAAGAGGTTTTATCGCCAGAACAAAAAGCACACTGCCTATCTTTTAACGGATCTTTAATTTGAACAGTCATCCAAGGCTTATCTGTGTTTGTGATAGAGACTTTCTTTAATGGAACTGTTTTATCCAGGATAGATATGATAGTGGAAGTAAAGGCACAAACCTTAGCCTCAGGATCCATAACTTTGTGAATGTGAGAAAAATCCGTAGTGTTCATAAGGAGGCCCTTATGTTACTTTTGTTATATACCTTATGTTATAGTTACTCTGATTTGTCTTCGTAATGCAGTATTGTGTCACAAAACTGAAATTAGGAAAGTTTAGGACTGAGATACCAGATATCAACTAAATGAAACAACAGTGTACCTGGTCTCTGCATACTGTAATAAATGTTCTCTTGAAGAGAATGCAGAACTGAGTCAGAGAGCTTGTTGCAAAAGTATGGCTCTCAACATGCCCTGAATCCTGTAAAAGCAAGTGCAGGAAAGCAAAATGAGTCATTAGAAAAATTAAATAAATATAAAAGATTATGTTAAAGCATGAACCATCTGCCCCAGACAGCCATCACTATTTAAAGCAGGTGTCAGTGACACTACATGTACTCTTGTTCCAAGTACAGGCTTGTAATTATCTTTTATATAATCATGTCTTTGGCAGTCAGCTGTCATCAAAAGACTAAGACAGTTACATCAGTATATTTTGAGCTGAAGGAGGCTTTTGAACACAGTGGATCAGTTCGTCTAGCAAACATCCTGACCACAATTTATGCAAGTAAGCATTTCAGATGTTATCCACAGCATCACTCACTTTGACACATTTTGCAGTGCATGGGGTTACTGTGGTTTTGTCGATACAGTTGCACTTTTGCTCCAAAGCACACATGCCACCCTGAACAGCCTCAAACAACACTGGGTTCAAGTCCCCGTACTCTCCTGACGCTACTTCAATGACTAAACACAAAACAGAGGAGAAATGTATGATGCATGATATATTGGTGCCAAATTGATTATTGGTTATTGATTTTTTTTGTAATGTATATAGACAGTTCTTCTTTTTTTCAAAATCACATTAAAAACAGTAATAATGTGAAATCTTATTACAATTTAAAATATGTTCTATATTAATGTTAATATCAATGTTGAAAACAGTTGCTGCTTTTTTTTTTAAAGAAACTGTAATAAAAAATGTTCAGGATCCTTTGATAAATAGAAAATGTTTAAAAGAACAGCATTTATTTGAAACAGAAATCTTTTGCATTAAAGTAAAAAAAAAATAGTACTGTCACTTTTGATCAATTAATACCATCCTTGATGAATAACAGTATTAATTACTTTGAAAATAACTTACTGCCCCAATATATGAATATGTAAGTATTAGTATTTACTGTATAAAACACAACTTACTGAAATCTGCAGGATTGTGGTATGTGGGACAGTGAAGACCCAGTCCTCTCAAATAAGGGATGAGGTATGGGACACTTCCCTTGTATATGCACTGGCCTTGGCTTAAAATATACAGCTGTGAAGGAGACCCAGAAGGAATCAAATGATGACTGAAATGATCTGAAGATTTCCAAAAAGATTTGCACATGTCTTTGTACCTTATCAAACATCTCAAATAGTTTGGCACTGGGCTGGTGAATAGTGCAAATGATAGCTCGCCCTCCTTGTGCCAGAGACTTCATCAATGACACTACCTGGAAACAGGATGCACTATCCAAACCACTGAAATAAAAAAACAACAGAAAATATACAGTATATTTTAATGCTACAAGCATCTAAATAATGCTGTTTTATTTGTGTCTAAATACGATAACATTATTACCTGGTGGGCTCATCAAAAAACATGACTGGGGGGTTGTTTACTAGTTCAAGGGCAATAGCCAACCTCCTACTCTGCCCCCCAGAGAGAGACACAGTACGAGTGTGGACACACTCATGCAGTCCCAGGGCTGTCAGAATTTCTTTTATCTGCATGCCAATATAAACACACAGAAAGGAGGTGACATTTCAGAGGGAAACACATTTGGGGCAAGTCTGAATGGGGTGATGAGCTTTACCTACCAGCTCTTTTTTCACCTCTTTGTCTTTATTGAGCTTCAGGTTGGCTGATACCTAGAAAACAGTGCAGAAATCATTCAGTTCAGTGTGTTCCTTGTTAGAAATTACGTTTTTTTCTGCATGTGACTAAGCATTTAGAAGTGATTGTTATATGAGCATTAGCACCAAACCAGCAGTAGGGGGCATCCTTTACTACACCATTCAAACTGCAGACTCACCATCATTGCTTCTTGAACAGTCAAGTGGGGCAGCAATTTGTCCTCTTGCATAATGTAACAGGACATTTTACGAAAGGTTCGGAGGTCTCGGAGCTTTCCATTTACCAGGATCTCTCCAGTCATTCCTGTTTCCCTGTAACACACAAGACAACCAGCAATGGATATGTATGAAAACTTTCAAGATTGGATTTAATTTAATTTAATTTTTTAATTTATTTTATTTAGAAATAAATGTATTTATTAGCAATTTTTTACAATTAAATAAAAAAAATGTTTACCAATAATATAAACAAAAGTTTACCAATGATACAAACAGATGGAAAGAAAAGTATAGCATGCTTTCTCACTATTTTTGTTCAGATCACTTTTGCACATACTGTACCCTCACCTGTATCCCGCCAGGATGTTCATCAAAGTGGACTTTCCAGCCCCAGAGGGGCCCATAATGCCAATGAACTCCCGACTGTAAAACTTCCCTGATAGACACTTGAGTAAGGCCTTATAACCTGCGAAGAAAAAATATATATGCTTGGCGTCATATGGTTCTCCTTTGGAACAAACGGTCCACTTGTAGTTAATCCCTTCAAATGAGAAGTATGGTTTAATCCGTGAACCTCATGACTGTACTACTTATTTTCTCCAAAGCTAAGAAATGTGAGAAAGCGATAAAGTGATAAAGGCGATGACAGAAATAGGTTCCAATACTTTTAAATACAGTGGCTAAAGTCTGCTCATTTACCTTTCTATGAGTCCACCAAGATGTCTTTCACCCACCACATAAGAACGAAAGATCTCATTGATACAGTAATTCTCACTGATATAGTAATTCTAAAAAAAAATAAAAAAATGTTAAATCGCAGGATTGTCAAAGCCTGACTTACAGCATTTCAAAGCAAGGTGCCTTAATTATCAGCCTATTAGAGCAAAAACTCTGTTCTCACAGTCAAATCACAGGAAAGCCCTCTCCTTTACCCTTTGACTTTATTCCCATACATGTCCACTGAATGTTTAGAGGTTGTTTAATGACTGCCCTTTTATCATCATTGGTGGCGCTTTTCCTTTTGGCCACAATAGAAACATGAGGACAGTGGAAAGATAGGGAGTGCAAATGAAATTGATCACTTTTACATTGGCATTTATCATATTTACAAATATATTCAATTCTGTATCTGTTTATCATTAGAGTAGTCAGCATAAATACCAAAGGCCAAGCATTTGGATGAGCATTTGCAGCCAATTTCGAATTCAAAAATGTTGTTCTCCCCAGTGATGTCAGATGTGATCTCATCTAATTTAAACTACTTGTAGTGATGGCACTGGAAAAATGAAAGTCCTGTTGGCCAATGAAGGCTGTAAAATAGTAGAAACTTCAACACTGGCATGTTTTCACCAATAAATCAAAGAACCATCTGCTATCTTCGGGCTAGATTTGACTAGACAGTGCATGACCAGACAGTGCATGAGTCAGATTCATCAGATAAAGACAAAAGTGATCAGTATGAGATACCAGCATTCAAGACGTTACCTGCAAATCAATAGATCTAAATGTCTGAGAGAAAAGCAAAAAGGCCTCCATTAGTCTTGGTACTCATTCTAATGGGATTTTAATCTTCTTCTGAATGCTAAACTGCTCAAATAAAATTGCTTACTGTATTCCACTTTGTACATGAACAAAAGTTGCTACTCTACGCGTGCATCTAGCCAAGACATGCTTTAATTTCCTATTTGATTTGTACAATCACGAGATAAATAGTCTATTATACACACAGTAACCATCATTTAGGCTCCATTTTATTTCTAAGATTGGATTTCTCTGCTATTCTGATCTGGTCTAAATTTCTGAGTTGTGCTTTGTTAATTTGTGCACAATTATTCATGGAGGACCTCTGACTTGTCAATTTTCTCTATTTTTAACTTTCTCCTTCATTCTGTCTGGTTTCCGGCTCCACTTTATATACCCTAGAGTTTTACCAGCTGCATTATAAACCTTTTGTCTCTTTTCTTTAAAGTTTTTTTTGTAAAAAAATATATTTTTATGAAAATGGTGTTTCATTTTTTTTATTTATCTAGCCTATTCTGTATAATTAAAACATTTGTATAAAATGTATTTTTGTGTATTTTAACAAATCATTTTATAAATAACTTTTTATAAATACAAAATTGTCTTAAAAAACTAATTTAATAAAACAGAAACGTAGCACGTACTGTATACCTTCTTGTTTGTTTGTTTTTTGCCACTTCTGTTGATGGTGTCTTATGATTATGATAATGTCTTATAATAACAAGACCCCCACCTTAAGGTCTGTTTCAAATTAATGAGGTCAAAACTACAAGTCATGCACTATTTAGGACCGTTGAGTTAAATGAGAATGACAAACTTCACTTTGTCTTCTAGTAAAGAAATGCCATGAGTCATCATATGGTAGGCTACATTACTATACATTCAAAATGAGAAATCTTCAGTGGGAGCATCTTCCTATACTTTCCCCTTGAAACACAAACCTCTTTACACTTTCTGCTCATTCAGGAGAGGCCCCTACTCTGTCAAATTGATCTGGTTTTGAATTTGGAGCTCTTCTAAAAGGCTGGGATTTGGTTTCCTCAGAGAGACCGCATTGTACTGATACATTGAATTGGCTGGCTAGATGTAAGACCCTGGAGTTTGGAGCCAAAAGGAAGAACGAAATCAGAGAATGTGAATAGCCAGGTCAGAGAGAGACATCACAGGCTCAGTCCCACAGAGAACACTAGCTAGGAGGGGATCGCGCTAGTGTTCACATGAGAATTAGTAGATTGTGCTGCTGTGTGGAGACAGACCGCACAATGGAAATCTTGTTGGAATGTATTGTAACCAGTGAAACATAATCAGAATTCCTCACAGACATATGGGTAGAACAAATGATCACCACTCCTGTGATATACATGTGTTACATAACACACATCCATAAACATGCTACATACAGTTTGTATCAGAAAATTGGAATTTGGATTGTGAAAATAGTATTTAGTGTGTATTCACTAATTTTGTGAACATTTCTTTGTATTAACCCTTTGAATGGTAAATATATTATTATTATTATGGAAAAAACAACGAATTCTAAAAGATATGAAATTGTATTAAAGAAGCTCTAATTTATTAGAAAACAGTAATGTATTATTTTGTGCCTGCCCTTTCAAGGGTTAATAAAATTATTGCACACAAAAAAGAAAAATTTAACAGGCCACTATAGATGTCACGAATTCAGTCCATGGACTTCTGTTTATTCACCACCAGAGGTCACCCTTTCCATTTCATTGACTCTCGCACAACACAAACTGTTGCATAGCACCCCGGACTACATATCCCATCATTCTTTGCACGATTTGCACACTGCACTGATTGCACACAGCTGTTTCTAATCACCTCACTCACTATATAACACCCACTCTAACCACATTTCTCTGCTGAGTATTGTTTAGCCTGTACCCCGTTCCGAGTCGCCGTGTTTTCCTTGTCTTGCCTTGCCTGTTTTTGCGGTTTTTGATCTTTGCCTGTTTTTTTTGGATTTCTCCCTCTTGTCTCGCCCCTGTGATTCTGTCTGCTTATCGGTGACCAACACTAGCCCTGGGACTATTCTTGTGTTTTGTCCGCCATATACCTGTTTGCCATTGTTTGACCCTGCCTGTTAACCACGTCTCTTTAATAAAGCCTGCAGATGGATCCACATGTCTCACGTCTTGTCAGCCCCGTTACAATAGAGAATCAAGAGATTTGGCTTTGTTGTCTTTATGCTATGTATGTAGGCTAATCTACAAGAATTAGTAGTTTTATCTCTCTTCATACCATGCACATATATTACAGACCACATACATATAAAAAAAAAAAGATATATATTTAACATTATTACTTGTATTAAATAATAAAGAAAACCTAACTGAGGTTATCAAGCCCTCTTAAGACACTAGTATAGTAATTTGGCATTGCATAAAATAGTAATATGATTAAAATATAATAGGATAAAAGAAGGATACCATAAATATATCAAATACATTATCAGACGCAGTGCTATGGTTATAAGTCTCACAGATGATAAAACAAGAATTTTAAAGTTATGTTACTGCTGAGAATTATTTGTATTTTTCTACTTTCGATCATTATTATATGATAGCATTATATAGTTCTTAGTTGATCATTTATTAAATGTTTAGATTATGTTTTATACATTTAAAAAAAATTATATAAAAATGTGAGTGTCGCCCAAATATGTACGTGTTTTTAAAATGCATGTTTATTCATTAAAACAGGTATGAGATTATAGACTTCTGTGGACAGCGTGGTATGTAATTTCCTATGAAAATGAGTGGACGCGATGGCAACATGCCACAACTGGTTGCCAGAAGAAGCCACACACTAATAAAGCGAGTTCACCCTCAGAACAAGAACACATCTGGACGAGTCTAAGCTTGACATCTGTGAGTCCTGCACTGTCTACATGTCACCTGGTACCTGTAAGTGATATGTATATATATGAAACATCAATCTGGAAATGTATCTGTAATAAATTTTTCTATCAATATGGGGTGCTGTGTGTACATTAATGAGGAAAAAAAATTAACTTAAATTATTTTAGCAAATGGCTGCAATATAACAAAGAGTGAAAAATTTAAGGGGGTCTGAATACTTTCCGTACCCACTGTATGTACGTGTTTTTGAAATGCATGTTTATTCATTAAAGCAGGTATGAGATTATAGACTTCTGTGGACAGCGTGGTTTGTCATTTCCTATGAAAATGAGTGGACGCGATGGCAACATGCCACAACTGGTTGCCAGAAGAAGCCACACACTAATAAAGCGAGTTCACCCTCAGAACAAGAACACATCTGGACGAGTCTAAGCTTGACATCTGTGAGTCCTGCACTGTCTACATGTCACCTGGTACCTGTAAGTGATATGTATATATATGAAACATCAATCTGGAAATGTATCTGTAATAAATAAAACTGATAATAAATCTTTAAAAATTTATTTTTTATGTTAAGAGTTCAGAGCAGGGTTGCCAGGTCCAAGAAAAAAACTTTAATAGAAAATATTTAATTTTCTTGTTTGTGTTGTTTGGGTGATTTTAGCTAGATTTTGTTATACGTGTGTGGTGCGCATATTTATTTGATCTATATTTTATTCCTCTTTGAGGTCATTGAATCTTCCCAAATTCTTTCAACACATCTTCATACAGTAAATGAAAAACAAGAACATATCTTCTCTGATATTTTCTGATCTCAATCAAGGCCATTATTAAGCCTTCATTCTCATTTCTCTGCTTAATTCATCTTCTCTTCGCATTAACTTGTCTTGTCTACACACAAGCAGTAATATACAATGCTCAACTCAATAAACCTGCCCTACCTGATAAATAATGATTTACTCCTTTATTTACTATCCCCAATACCATCACATGTAAGGTCTTAACTTAGTGACACCTAGTGGGATTTTACTGTCTAGGGCAAACTGTATAAAACAGAGAAAAAAAGTCAAAACCACGATTGCATCTATACTGCTTGATTTATTTGGGACTGGAAAATACAGTTCGTATAACCAAATAACTCTGCTCTTAAAACCTCCAAACTTACAAAATGTGCTGTTTTATGTAAATGTAGATGCCTTATTTCAAAGTAATGACAAACAATATCAATGCTAGCAAGTATTCAGACTCATCTTCTCTTCGCATTAACTTGTCTTGTCTACACACAAGCAGTAATATACAATGCTCAACTCAATAAACCTGCCCTACCTGATAATGTAATAATGATTTACTCCTTTATTTACTATCCCCAATACCATCACATGTAAGGTCTTAACTTAGTGACACCTAGTGGGATTTTACTGTCTAGGGCAAACTGTATAAAACAGAGAAAAAAAAGTCAAAACCACGATTGCATCTATACTGCTTGATTTATTTGGGACTGGAAAATACAGTTCGTATAACCAAATAACTCTGCTCTTAAAACCTCCAAACTTACAAAATGTGCTGTTTTATGTAAATGTAGATGCCTTATTTCAAAGTAATGACAAACAATATCAATGCTAGCAAGTATTCAGAGTTTACACCCCTGACTCTGTAATGGCAAAAAAAAAAAAAAACTCAACTAAAATGAAGAACTGAATGTATTTTATAGAATTCAATCATTTCGTTACATTCGAAGAATCTTGCATATGCTCACATTGATTCAACATGGTGAGTTAAACTATGGCTGTAAAACAACCAACCAAAATAAATAAATAAAATAAAATAAAACTGTTTCAGAATACCAAAATAAAAGAATACTAGCTAAGTTTGATCATGTTTTATCATACAAATGCAGGCACAAGAGGGTGTTAAAATACATTTAGCCAAATAAATAAAGCAAGGACTTTGAGTTGAGTGAATGAAAAGGCTCAGGCACTGCTTACAAACTCCAAATGGCATCTTCACCAGACTAGAGCTACTACACAAAGATATCTGCAGAGGTGATATTTTGAATTTCCAGGCACTGATGTTAGATTCAATTTAAAAGATTCAATGACAATATTTAACAAATGCACGAAATATATCAGTGGCAAATGTCTGAGATAGAATGAAAAACATTCCACTATCAAAATCTACATACTCAACTAAAATGAAGAACTGAATGTATTTTATAGAATTCAATCATTTCGTTACATTCTAAGAATCTTGCATATGCTCACATTGATTCAACATGGTGAGTTAAACTATGGCTGTAAAACAACCAACCAAAATAAATAAATAAAATAAAACTGTTTCAGAATACCAAAATAAAAGAATACTAGCTAAGTTTGATCATGTTTTATCATACAAATGCAGGCACAAGAGGGTGTTAAAATACATTTAGCCAAATAAATAAAGCAAGGACTTTTGAGTTGAGTGAATGAAAAGGCTCAGGCACTGCTTACAAACTCCAAATGGCATCTTCACCAGACTAGAGCTACTACACAAAGATATCTGCAGAGGTGATATTTTGAATTTCCAGGCACTGATGTTAGATTCAATTTAAAAGATTCAATGACAATATTTAACAAATGCACGAAATATATCAGTGGCAAATGTCTGAGATAGAATGAAAAACATTCCACTATCAAAATCTACATCTACGGAACAAACAGCTGACTCAATCATACAAAAACGTTTTGTAGTGGTTCACAGGTTATTATGCTGTACACATTCATGTGTGCATATAACCAGAGTCAGTGTAAACTGTAGATGATACTTCAAGCAACTCCAGAAAATATACAACCCAGAATAATTCAAGTTTCAAATAAGCATGTGTTTAGATACAACACACACCATTTTAAAAGGCACGATTGCGTGTTCATGGCTTAAAATGAGAGCAAATATAATTATTATTAATTATACATTATTACTATGTATCATACTGCAAGTCTGTTTTAAGTAGTAACTGCAAATTGACCTGCAGTAAAAAACTCCAGTAAATACAAAGAAATGTTTTCTGTGAAAACTGATATCTTAATAAAAAAAAAATTTTTTTTAAGTCTTTCAATTATTATTAAATATTTACACTTCAGTTTAAAAGTGTGGGTTTATTTTAGCAAAAGCATATCAAATTGATCATAAGTGACAGTAAAGCCATTTATAATGTTACAAAAAAATTCACATTTCACATAAATGCTGTTCTTTCTATTATTGGGGGGAAAAATGTATCACAGATTCCACAAAAATATTAAGCAGCACAGCTGTTTTCAACACTGATAATAATGAGAAATGTTTCTTTATCACCAAATCAGCATATTAGAATGATTTCTGAAGGATCATGTGACACTGAAGACTGGAGTAATGATGCTGAAAATTTAGCTTTGCCATCACAGGAATAAACTACATTTTAAAATATATGAAAATAAATAACATTTATTTTAAATTGCAATAATATTTCACAATATTACTGTTTTAACTGTATTTTTTTTATCAAACAAATGTAGCCTTGGTTAGCATAAGGTAACTTCTTTCAAAAACAAACTTTGGAACCACAGTGTATTTATATATTATTATTTAATTCAAATATTAAAACAAAAAATGGCATCATGTCATTGATCCAGAAACAGGTGTGAGGGGTGTTACAGTGGAGCAGGATGCCTACCAGGTGTTTGAGAAAGGCTCTCTCCGCGATGCATTTCAATACAGTGTCGGAGTCATTTAATACTGACACCATTTCCAGGATGTCCTGGTCTCGAGCTCTCACTTCGACTGCCTGAGCGCCCTTTAACAAGACAGCAAGAGCAGTATGTAAGGTTCAATGGGATGGAACAAATGCACTCACTGCTGTGTAGGAGATCTGGACGAAAGCAACACTGAATGTTGAACCCACCTGTCCAACTGCATGCATGCAGTCATCAGGCCCAAGGATCTGAAGCAAGATGATAACAACAGAGGTCAATATTAATCGATTAAATGATGCAATAATCTTTAGTTTTGCATTGTATTTGAATTTTAGGTTCATTGAAGTACAACAGAGGTACCTGGCTGATGCGATTCTCCCAGTCCATTCTCCGAAGACCTGCTGCTGCTAAAATTATGGCTGAAAAGCCATCCTTTTCATCCAGCTTCTTTAGACGAGTGTTGAGATTACCTCTCTGAAACACAACTGTTAAGGTATAACCTCAAAACATCAAGTGCTTGTTAATACACTGAAATTATAATTTACTTATTATCTGTATCTACGTACAATTACAGGAAAAGTAAAAAAAACAAAAAAAAAACACCTACAGCACTGCACTGAAAGATACAATGTCTTTAAACTCCAGATGGGGAAATATTTTCTTTAGTTGTGTGGCCCGGCGAAGAGAACTGGTACCTACAACACTTCAAATATAAAATATATTATTAACTTTTCAAGAAAACACATACCCTGCAAATATTTACTTTACAAATACTAAAACACACTTTTATGCTTACCAAGACTGCTTTTATTAGAATAAAAATACAGTAAACAGTAATATTGTGAAATATTATTACAATTTCAAATAACTGTTTTCTATAAGAATACATTGTAAAATTTTATTTATTTCTGATATGCAAAGCTGAATTTTCAGCAGCAATTACTCCAGTCTTCAGTGTCACATGATTCTTCAGAAATTATTCTAATATGCTGATTTGCTGCTCAAGAAGCATTTCTTAATAATATCAATGTTGAATGTTTGATAAACAGAAATCTCAAAAGAACAGAATTTATTTGAAACAAATCTTTTGTAACATTATAAATGTAAATGATCACTTTTGATCAATTGAATGTGTCCTGGCTGAATGAAAGTATCAATTTGTTTTAAATGGTAGTGAACTTTAATATACTTAAAATATAGTTCTTTGTACTGGCCACCAATTTTACCTCTTGTTGGCTAGAGATTCTAGAAATTTGCCTTTATGTTTGGGGTGCAAGACAACAGCATCGTGGGGGTTTTCACGCCTTTGAAGAGAAGGAAATGTCAATCATAATGTTGACCACATATTAAAAAGGATTTGCGATGAGCAATACACTATATCAGTTTTTTTCCATACACATTAATAATTATTTATGAACATTTAGGCTGAAGTTCATCTGTAACATGACATGTCAGTTACTTTTAAGATAAAAGACTCTTTAGATGTGGAGGGGCATATAAGCACTTCCGAACACAGAGACACTACTGTGATTCATTTACTTCAGCACAGATCCGATAGTGAAGCCTTCAGGAAGAACAGTTGGCAAGTCTTTCAAAGAGTGCACGAACAGGTCCACCCTATAGAGCAGGGATCCTCAAATCTGGCCCACGAGATCCACTTTCCTGCAGAGTTTAGCTCTAACCCTAATCAAACACACCTGAGTATACTAATCAGCATCTTCAGGATCATTAGAAAATCACAGGTAGGTGAGTTTGATCAGGGTTGGAGCTAAACTCTGCAGCGCATTGGCCCTCCAGGGTAAGATTTGAGGAACCCTGCTATAGAGACACAAATATTACAACAGCATTATTCATACTGAAACATAAGCACCAGTGTAGCAGTGCAAACCTCTGAAACATCAAATGCACCAAAAGACCAATGAACAAATCTGTACGCAGTGCGAAGTATACATGAATGATATTTTTTCCAAAGCATTTTCCAGTTCTTTTGTGAAGAGACTCTTTTCACCAATCTTTAACACAAATATATACAGTATATATATATTAACATTTACAAAACTAATTAATTATTACATCAATATAATTTAACTGAATAATCTACTTTAATTTTTTTTGGACTTACTTTGGATAAAGCGGTGTCAAGAATTGTACCTCCTGTTGCTGACAAGATTGAAGTGGAATTTAGTTTAAGGAGAGCGAATATTAACTACATCATACTTGCTAAACTCAATTACAAATAAACAACAACTGTTTTGCATATTCGACAATGATCTCTTACCTATTTCAAAATGAACATCAGGGTGTAACTCCTTGAGTTTCTCTACAACAATGTCTGTCTGAATCCGAGCCAACTGAAAAAAATGGAGAAAGGTAACAAAAAGTTTCAACAATATTCCATTTCCCACAAAATATGATGGTCCTTTAAGGCTAATCTTCTTGTTTAGGGCTTCAACTGGTTTCTTTACTAAAACTAATCAATCTTGTACGCACCCTAACAAAGACAGAAATCTTATCAAAGCCATCACCACCGCTGACACACCCAATCAAACTTACAAACCTACATTTGCCTATGTGACTCTAGTACTACTAAGTGATGATGAGGCAAAAAATATATAGACATTGTTTTTACTTTTACTTTCCATATTATAATTAATGTCTATTAGACTTTAGTTATAGAATGGAAAGTAAAAACTTATTTTAGAAAGCGTGAGAAGGTAATTAAGACACACTGGTATTTTAAACACATGGATGATTCCAATGACAAGCAGTCATAAAAACTGTGAAACGTGTGCATTTAAATTTCTCCAATTTATCAGGTGATGAATATGATTAGATATTTTAGCAATATCTTATATGATCTCATTTGTATGTACACTACAGTTTAAATGTTTGGGATCAGTGATCATTTTTTAAAGAATGAATACCTTAATTTAGCAAGGATGCATGAAATTACTCAAAAGAACCAGTTAAGACATTTATAATGCAAAATATTTCTATTTTAAATAAATGCTTTTTTCTTCCTTTTTTAGTATTGTCAAAGAATGCTGAAAAGAAATCGTAAGACTATTTCCAGAAAAACATTTAGCAGCACAACTGTTTTCAACATTGGTAATAATAAGAGATATTTTTTTAGTACCAGCATATTAGAATGATTTCTGTAAAGATCATGTGACCCTTAGGACTGGAGTAAATGGCTGCTGAAAATTCAGCTTTGCAGTCACAGGAAGACATTTTAAATATATTAAAATAGATTAAAAAAAATTTTAATTAATATGTATGGAATGTGATTTTTTTTTTTTAATAGACCATGTACAATGAATGTGCATATGATAATTTACCTGGCTTTTTCTGGTGCCAACACGGATCACCCTGCTGACTTTGCCATCAGCATCCTGTAAAATATTTTTTATGCAAAGATCAGTACTAACAAAAATAACACCGACTAATATGTTCATTTGGATTACATTCTGACCCTAATGTATTTATAAGGTCCATCTGCCATAGTTGTAGTGAAATTAACTGCAGTCTTCAGAGGAACAGAGAGCAGTGTGCAAGAACATGAAGCAGGACAGACTGATGAGCCAGTGCCCCAGTGTCCTGGCTTCAGTGGATAAGACAATAATGCCTATTCACACGAGGGAGGAGTAAAGAACACCATTCATATAGAGAGGTTTCATATGCGAGAATATTACACTAAAACGTTTTGGGTAAAGATGATTCAGATGTAACTTCCTATTAACCACTTTATTTAGCCAAAATAACTATCAATTATGTATTAATCGCATAACTAACGGAGCTGCACTGCAAGGTTTACGAGTGTGGGCGAAATATATTGAATGTAAAATAAATACGGTTAAATTAGTTAGATTTGGTTTTGATTTCTCTCAAAATTACTTTTTTTACTCCACTTTTGAGTAGCGAATGAATGAAAACATACCTGTAGGTTTGTCTTTTCTGACATTTTGTAAGATGATCCAAGTAATTTAGTGCTGATCTCGTTGAAATTAAAGTCATTTCTCATTCATGATTGTAAAGGAGAAAATATTGAAGTGGGACAAATGTAATTCACAACTGTTACAGGTTGAGTATAATTTACTGCGGTCAAGCCAGCCGCGCTTTGAAAATGCACGGTCAAGCCAGCCGCACTATTTTTTGTTCTGCGCGTGTAACCGATGTCCTTGAGGGGGCAATTTGCGTGCATTGTGAGCTTTTTTTGTTGAAAAAGCTCCACTCTCGTTTGTCTCTTTTTTCGAGGAAAGAGGGGCAGCCATCTGCTTCCTGCGATTCAGGACCCGCCGCTGCTAAGGCACGGAGGAGAAAGTGCTCGTGGGGCTCACAGGTGGTGGTCGAGAAGTTCAGGGAGGCGGAGCCGCGCTCAGCGGCCTTCAAATCCTTCATTCCACGAAGGTCCAGGTCTGAGCCCGAACAACACAGGGGTCCTGGTCCGTCTCGGTCTGAGGATCAGAGACGGGCACAGAAGGCTAGTGTCGCGGCTCGCACTCCACCTCTTCCTGCGGGGAGGGGATAATTTCCGTAAAGTCCGAATTTAAAAATAAAGGTCGCTATGACCATCACAAAAACATTGCAGAATACAAAATAAACGCTTTTAGACTTCTATTTTGAAGACGCGGTTATTCTGGAGACGGAAGTTAACATGAACACACGGTAATCGCGGTATCGTTTGTGTTCTCACTTCAGTCACTCATTTTATATATCAGAAATTACAGTCGTCGAATGAGCATTGAGCACGATGGCGGAGTATGAATTATTTCACAAACAAACAATATCTATAATGACGCTGATGACTGAAACAGTTCGAGACGAGATTCAAAATGTTTTTGACTGTGAATGTCGTCCATTCCACACTGACATTAGTTGCGACAGAGATGCGATATTGGACATGAATAAGAAACGCAGACTGGTACCTTTATTTTTATTCTGCATGTATTTTGCATGTTATTTAAGTCTCAACAAGGGATTGTTGTCAGTTGTGATCTGTCAGACAGCCTGTTCCTGACGTTTTTCCTTTGTGCAGTCTTTTATTTTAAGGTTAGGTTACATTTTATATGATTAATCAAGACTTTTGTGTTTAACACTGTGATAAGTAACTATATTTCATTCTTTAAATGAAATGTTCAGCTTCATCCTGCTAGTTCGAAAACTGAACATTTTGTCCAGATGAATTAATCAGTAGTTAAAGGCACAATATGTAAGATTTTTTTATTAAAATATCCAAAAACCACTAGAACAGTGTTATATATTTTGCTGACTTGTGTACTTACATTATCCCAAATGTTTCGAAGAATGTTTAAATCCAGAGAAATAAGCAATTTTAACTAGTGACACGGACCGTGTCCATAGTGCCATTGTGTCGCCTGCCAATGATGTCATAACCCCTCGATTTCCGGTTTTGTTTTGTAGAAAACGTGGAAACACCAAAGACGCTTTAATATGTTGTGCATTTTAATAGACCGGTGACGACTGCACAGAGTAGCATTATAACAGAACTTTCAAATGTATCTAATATGATAAAACAGCGCTGCTTTACCCCACATACGCACGACCGGAAGGAGCGGAAGCGGTCGACTGTGGCATAATAAAAGCTCTGCTGCTTTCGAGCCGTGTTTCAAACTCATTCAGTGGCCTCGTTTCGCTTCGACGGCTTTCAGCCTCACCCTGCTTCATTCTACTATGTTAATAAATCTTTAGCTCATCCATGAACATGATTTCTGTCCGAGTCCCATCGGATTGCATCGGCTGTGGGGATGAAGACCACAACTCCCATGATTCCACACTCAATCACAGCAAAACTATGCCTTTGTCTCTTTGTTTATTTTGAATATGCGCCCTCTAGCGGCGAAAATTACATATTGTGCCTTTAATATCTGTTGCAGGCAAAGCTCACAGCTTTGATGGAGACCTTTACCAAGGTGGCTGTTCAAAAAATATGCAAAGTCTTCAGTTATTGCTTTGCGCTTAAGCCAACTCAGCTGAAGAGTTTTAAAGGTTACCATGATGATGTAATAAATGTAAAAGAGTTGGTGAAGGAGCATGTGAAAAAAACAGAAAGAAAAAACAATCAAACTGTCAAAGTTGTGCTTGGTAAGATGTCCTGCATATATTATAATGTCATATATAAAGTCATATTCAATCCACTACAATGTTAACTGTAGGAATTTCTCATTCTCCTCTCAGATTCTGCAGCTGTAGCTCCATCAGTGTCTCTGGAGAGACCGAATTTGCTCACTGCGTTACCTGAAGAAAACATACAACCACAAGATTCTGTTAAAAGCCAGCAGGTGAGTTCATTGTTGAAATGATTTAACTCTGTGTTGTTTGCTAAAATGCTGGCAACAACGTTTGTTCTGATTTAATTTTTTCTCTCAGTGTGCAGAGGAGGGTCACGTTTCTAAATTTTGTCCCGAATCATCAAGTAGTGGACAAGAGAACCCAGTGCAAGCATTTTTTATAGGTATGTGCTGCACAGCTTTGATATTTATGTGTACTATCTACAGTGGGGCAAAAAAGTATTTAGTCAGCCACCAATTGGTAGTAATTGATTGAATGTTAATTAATTCATCTGTCTATTATTAAGCGATTATTTATTTCAACTTTACTTCAATATGTTTGGCATTATTAAATGATAAAATATTAGACTCTAGACCAATGGTTTTCATATTTCTTCAGGCAGCGGTCCACATCAACATTAAAACAATAATTCTAGACCACCGAACACCCAAAGTATCTCAGTGTTTATTTGTTTTATATCCTATATTTTGAAATAGCCTCACTTTTCCCTATCCATCACTTTTCTAGACTACTATTTTTTTCTCATTTCACTAAAATCAACTAGACAGTTACTTTTAGCTAATGAACATAAATGAGAAAACTGTTCACTAGCTAGTTATTAATTAAATTTGGTATAATTTACATTTACATTTATTCATTTAGCAGATGTTTTTATCCAAAGCGACTTACAATTGGGGAATACAACAAGCGATTCTTCATAAAGAGGCAAATAAACACAGGAAGTGCTCGTAATACAATTATATATAATTAATGAATAATTTTATTGATATAAATATTTCTATTTAGGCTTAAATAAAAAATGTTTGAGGTAGTAAGATTTATTAAATGTTTGTCAAATAAATTGCTCATGCTTTATTTGATCAGAAATCCATATCCAATCCACGATAAAAACCATATTGTGATTTAAAAAAATAATAATAATAATTAAATAACTTTTCTGTACTTTTCTAATAACTTTCTACGGCAAAGCTGAATTTTCTCCAGTCAGTGACACATGGTCCTTCGTAAAGTGTTTTAATATGCTGATTGGTGCTCAAGAAACATTTTTTATTATTATCAATGTTGAAAACAGTTGTGCTGCTTAATACTTTTGTGAAAACCATGATTATATTTTCTTTGATGAATAAAAAGTTAAAATGAACTGCATTTAATTGAAATCGTAATCTTTTGTAATAATGTCAATGTCTTTACTGTGACTACTGATTGATGTAATGTGTTCTTGATCATAAAATATTAATTTCCTTAAAACTTACTGACCCCAAACATTTTAAAGGTGGTAGGCTTTTTTAAACCAGCTAGACATACTTGTAGCTTTCAGTAACTGGAGCCCTGTTAATGTTTTGCAGGTGAATACACTACCATCACCTCTGTTGAAGACCAGAAAACTGAAGTAAACACACAAGCAGACCAAATAAGTACAAAATCCGAAAAAAAGGAGAAGACAAAACCATATGACTGTAAAGAGTGCGGAAAGAAATTTCTCTTTAAACGCTCACTAGATCAGCACAAATGTGGACATTTAAAAGGGCCTTACAGTTGTGAGCAGTGCGGAAAGAAGTTTAAATACTTAAAAGGATTAAGGAAACACCTACTGTATCACACAGAGGAGAAAGGAATCTGTAAAACTTGCGGGAAAGCCTTCGCAAATCTTAAGATGCACGAACGTGTCCATCTGGAAGTCAAGCCATTTCTTTGTTCCACATGTGGACATGGCTTCACCGTAAAGGGAAGTTTACTGGCACACCAGAGGATCCATACAGGTGAAAAACCGTATAGTTGTGAGACCTGCGGGAAGCACTTTTCACACTCAGGCAACCTCTCCAGCCATCTGATCACTCATTCCAGAGACAGACCGTGGAAATGCAGCCACTGTGACAAGACTTTCAAAACCGAAAAGAAAATGGAAATGCACCAGCTTGTGCATACAGGAGAGAAACCCTATATATGCAACGAATGTGGGCAGAAGTTTGGCCACATTACAAATCTCAGAAGGCATCTCCTTGTGCACAGCGGTGTGAAACGGCACGTCTGTGAAATCTGTTCCAAGCAGTTTTATCAGAGCAAATCTCTGAAGAGGCATATGGGAATACATGGAGCTCTGAAGTCATTTATGTGTGAAATATGTGGGAAGAGCTTTGTTTTTAACTATGCCCTACAGAAACACTTACTCACACATAGTGATAAAGCCAATCTGAATGGCAAATCTTTCCCTTGTGATGAATGCGGAAAGTGCTACAGTTCGACCGCTATGCTCAGAATGCATCAGAGACTCCATTCGGAAAAGGATCCGTACGTGTGTAAAGCCTGTGGGAAAAGCTACAGCAGCATGTATTCGCTGAAGGAACATGAGAAACTTCATTCGGGGGTGACACCGTTCAAGTGTGACATCTGTGATAAGACTTTTACTCAGAAAGTTGGTTTGAAAATGCACGAGGTTGTTCATACCAAAGCTAAACCCTACACATGTTCTGTTTGTGGAAGCCAATTCGGGCTTCCCCACAGTCTAAGACTGCATATGCGCATTCACTCCGGTGAAAAGCCACACAAGTGCGAAACGTGCGGAATGTGCTTTCGCTTGTCTGGAAACTTAAGGCGACACGAGCGGGTCCACACTGGTGAGAGGCCGTTCAGCTGTGAGGTGTGTGAGAAAAAGTTTGTACAACTCAGCCATCTGAAGGCGCATTTGCAAATCCATACCGGCGTGAAACCCTACACGTGCCAGAAATGCGGGAAGAAATACGCATACCGTCGAAATT